AGTCATTTTTCTTATTTTATTTTATTTATTTTAGATTCCTGATTAAAAAAATACGAGCGCAATTATTAATAATTTTAAATTATTTTAGATTAAATAAACACATAAAACGGACAATAATAACGCCATTGGAAATAGAAAAATCTGAGAAATGTTAAATGATGGAGGGAGTTAAATGAAAACAAAAGTTGATGACGGAGATAGAGCTACTATTACCTCCTTGGTTGGCATCTCTTAGGGCCAATGAGCTTCCTGTCCATCCAAACTGTATTATTACGATCGTCGAGCGTGACGTCAAATAGGGACAAAAATCTCAAGCAACTCGACGGAAGTAATACGTCTGCTGATCACTTCCTGCGTCTGTCAAATATTCAGATATACCAGGAAACTACGATCTATCATGACGGAGGACGACTCTTGTCGAGAATTTTCAGATATTATTGTGAATACGACAACGTCATTCTATACCATCGAATGATTTATTGCCGACGAATTATTAAAAATAATTTATCCGGAACATTAGATTTTATTGGCTATTCTTTAATAGACTTACTATATTTTAATTGCCATTTTTCTGATTTAATCGAATAATTTCCGGAAGAAGCAAAGATCAAATCCGTTTTTCCTACTGATTTAAAATTTACAGAGAGAGAGAGAGAGAAATTCGAGAAGAGAGATTGCATTCATTTATACCGAACATCTTAAAATTTCTCATCGACTTCATTGCTGAGAATACTTTCTGAAAGAATAAAAAAAATAATAATAAAAAAGAAAAAAAGAGAGAAAAAGCATTGATCGATATGAATATTCCTTGGTGTTCTAAATCGATACGAACGTTGTGTACATGTTTATTTCGATTATTTTACGAAGAGCTTCTTGTAATATTATTGTTATTCCCAACTAGCATTAACGTTTTCTTCTTTAAATAGCCAATTCGTTTCTTTTTCTCTTATTTTTTTTAATTCTAGACCTCATAACGTTTCCAGTTAATTCAATAAAGAACAATAAAAAGAATCCTAGAAAGACAAAACTAATCTGGTATAAAAAAAAGAGAGAGAGAGAGAGGGAGGGGGAGAATAAAGCTAAATAAACCGAACAGAGCGAAGGTGTCTAGGTTGACATGTCATATCATAGCCAGCTATCAGTAAATAAACAGCAAGATGATCCAGATAAATAGGGAGACGTGACGGAGGCTGTGCATGGCCACACAAGGCAAACGTGAGTAGCCCGAGGCTTTTTGAGGGTCAGGTGCCATATGCCGACCACGTGGTCAAGGTGTACGTTGAACTAGGCAGGTGGAAAGAATGATACCAGAAAACCAGTCGAACGAGTTCCGAAATCCCTGAAGGTGGACTTTACCACATATTGCATCTCTCGGGTGGAACTAATGGTACATCACTCAAATAATTGTTATAAATACCTCAGTGTGGGAGACAATAGTACAGGAAGTTACCTGAAGGAAAGCTTCTAGCGTTAATAGGAAACAAACGCGGGAGCTAAAAGTATTTCGTCTTAAACATTAATCGCGGAATAAAAGAGGAAAAAAAAAAAACAGGGGAGAGAATAATTCACAAACAGCTATCTCTTCCGTTTTTTCATTCGTTGATATTTTTCCAAGCAGATGGTTTCAGCGGAGAAGAGAAAAGGGACCAAGCTGACTGCATAGAATGTTTGATGGGTCTGTTGTTAGAAGGTTGACAGTGGTAAAAGGCTACACAACCAACCCCATTAGTCTCAGTCTATAGTGTCGCCAAGGAGACGGCATTAATTGACCTCCATCACTGTTGTGGTTACATGAAAAAGTACGCCACAATGACGCCATAGTTGCTCTTATAAGTGGTTGTTCTTTTTAATTAAAATTATGTATTACTAATTGCTTGCGTGTTGCAGTGAAAAGAAAACCAAATTCCATTATACATTTTATAAAACGGCATTTAATAAATAAATAAATAAATATTTTAATCGAAAACGAAACGTATAAAGAAAAGAAAAAAAAAAAGAAAACCTCTCTCTCCTTTTCTCGAGTTTTCCAGATAATAATTACTAATTTCTTAGTCCCATTATAAGATAGAATGGATTCTTCGAGAATTCATAAATGTTTCATGTCTTCATACATGATGGATAACGTTGAATATAATTGAATAGGGCTTCGGGGTGGAAAAATATTTGGGATAACGTTTACTAGATTCGGGTTACCGGCATGACACGGCATATCAGATTTAAATAAAAAGAAAATAAAAAAATTTAACCGATTCAAATTGATAATCTACAAACATTTCTATCACGAAAAATTCATTAACGAGAGTTTATTCAGTAGAAGAATATTATAAATAATCAAATAAATGAAAAATGAAAAACATCATAATCCCAGTTTCTTTCGGTTGTAGTATTGAAGTCGGCAACTCCCTCTCGGATTTTTACAGTTCTCGCTTGTCACGCCGAACGAATACGTGATTCACGATGTCAAACATCGTTAATGTCACCTTTACTAGGAACGAGAACCTAATTTTTCTAGTTTACTTTCTTTCTAGATTTTCATTTGATCCGGGTAAAGACCGAATAATCAAAACAGAAGTTGGAAAAAGTCTTTATAAGGAATATCTACGATATCAATAAAGATGTCATCTTTTTCGATGCTTAAAACACAACAAGATATTTTTTAAGACGGGGAAAAACGATCGAACTAAATGGTGTTCCCTTAACTCGACATGTGTACATATTGATCTGAAAGATCCATTGTAGCAATGAACATCTAAATCGTCACTCACGTGATACCGGTAGCAGATAAGACGTCAAACAGCAGCCATTGAACTAATCTCATTCAGATGCCATCTCCTCTGATCTTATACGATGAAAAAACATTCGGCCATTGACGGATCGAATCCTTCACTCCCGCGTTTTCATGTCTATTTACCTCTACTAAAACAATCGTAACTTTTTTTTTTATGTTTCTTGTTTTTGCAGCGACCTAAATAGCTTTCCACTATCATTTTTTGTACTCGATAGGACAAAGGAATAAAGTATAAAAAAAAAATATACCATCAACTCTTTACCTAAGTCGAGCTCAATTATCAGTTTTAAAACTTAGATAAGAACAAAATAAAAAAATACAAGAAATAATTTACTTCAAAAATCTACCGTTATGTTACCAACGAACAGCTTGTACTTGGACAATTTTTTTTTTCTCGCTAATTCCATTTATTCCTGCAAATAGAGTTTGATTACAGGTTGAACGAAAAAGTTCATTAATTGTGGCCAATGAACAGTGTTGGCTGACAACTAATGGAGAAATCTCGGAAAACATCAATCAAAAATTCTCCCTTCAGGATGTTCTTACAGATAAAATGATGTTCTAAATTATATAGGTATCTCTAGAGAACAGGTAAGTTTCCTATCCAATCATTCCCTCAAACTTCTAATATATTAAATTAATACGTAATACTATTAAAGATTTAGGTATTAATTATTTATTAAAATACTTTTTGTTAATTCTTTAAATTAAATTTAAAGAAATATATTGTAAAATTTCAATAAAATACTTGAGCTTCGAAAAAGATAATTCTTTCTATAGAGACTAATGAAGTATCATCTACTACAATGCGGCCTTCTCTTTCCATGGTCCTACCTTAACGGGAACAAACCCACCTGTTCCGAGCAACAAACCAATCACTTGATTACGTCAGAGCAATGATCGACGTGCAAGCAACTACCAATTTATAACAGAATATTATATTATTACATCTATTTACAACTTTATACGGCAGTTTATCCGCCGTCTATTCTTACCTTCCAGTTAATATTGATCTTTTAAAAAAAAACTTATCCTGTCACACTCAATAAAAGTGAATGACCATCATAGAAAATTTTACAAAATAATACGCAAGCATTTACAAAAAAAAAGAAAAAACTACAATAGACTGAACATCTCTTTTAATCTACTCATGCAAAAAAGGGAGGAATATGAAAATAAATAAATAACAATCTGAAGACTATCAATAACAAGCAACAACTTGGATTTACAGTAAATTTTTATGGGAAATAATCGCATGCAAAAAATAGTAATTTAAACATCTACAACAAAAAAAATCATCAGGCAACTAAGTATTTTTCATTTCTCCATGGCAGATTTTATTGTACAAGTTTCTTGATTAGGTTACATTAGATGGTGCAAACATAATTAATACCATATCAATATGTACAAACGTCAACAACTCGCTTTATCATATCCTTACATACAACAATCTCCTTTGGTCAACTTTCGAAAACATCGTCGAATAATAATAATAATAATAATAATTTTAGAAATAAATTCATGCAATAACTGGCAACAATGCCGCATTCCAATATCAAAACATGCAACATTCTACTTTTCACTATATACTATACACAGTCAATGGTTATTTTTTTTTTATTTTTAATATATAAAAAAATGTGACGTCGAATATATTCTGAGCAGTATGACGAATTGCGATAAAAGCCTACCATTCCCTATACATGCAAGGCAGTTTGAGTCGACACATAAAAATATAACTTAGCCTCCGATCAATGAATGCATTTTTCTAAGTAGAACGACATCACAAATTTTTTTTTTTTTATAAATTATTTCTATACACGTTTGATATAGTCCTTACACGTAAATTTTTGATGTCATTTTTTAAATGTCGAGGCTAAGCGTTATTTAAAAAAAATTAGCTTAATGAGATTAAAGTGCTCCAAAAACTATGTACTGTATATACACCCACACATCCTTATGCACAAAGACGCTGTAGGGTCAAGTAATATCGGACAGGCCTGTAGGAACGAATGTGTGGTATACAGTTCACCACAAACAGATGCATTCCACGAGATATTGTCAGGAACTTTTTGTGCCTGTTTTGTACTAACCCCACATCGTGATACAAAAATGACTAATAAATTATTGTAATGATAAATAACATGTACAGTATGGCAACATCACTTGATGAGGGGATGGGATATAGAGAGCACTCAGACATCACTCCTACCTTGATACATGGCTGGATGAAACAAGGAGCCAGGAACACCACTGTAATAATTAGGAAATCCCGTATACATATAAGGAAACAGGTTGGCTGCCTCGCTGGTGGGTAGGGGAAAATCCATGCCGTGGTTCGCTACTGGATTTCCCTGGGATGCTTGGATCTGGGTCGCATCTTTCTTTCTGCCTTCTTGCTGTTGTTGTTGCTGCTGTTGTTGTTGTTGCTGCTGCTGCTGCTGTTGTTGTTGTTGCTGCTGCTGCTGTTGTTGTTGTGGCTGTTGCTGAGGTGATGATTGTTGCTGATGTTTTTGGACAGACTGCGAATTGGAATGTTCTGTTGGACTTTTGGATTCTTCTTCGTTTCCGCCATTATTGTTGTCTTGTTTTGAGGTCGCAGTTTCTCCTTTAGCTTCCCTATTCCCAGATCCCAGAGACATACCCAACATACTCGCATTTTGTCCAAATGGAGGAAGGTTCATTGGGATGGGGAGACCTGCCATCTGCTGGAGACCCATCATTTGAAGTTGCTGCATAAGATTGGTTTGACTACTTGCACGTTCGAATTCTTGTTGTTGAACAAGCTGTTCTAATGCATTCGTCCCTGGAGTTGAAATCTCAGAACGTTCAGTTGCATCTTGCGTATCAGTCAATTTTTTCATATTGTCGATATGGGTCTTCAGTTGGTCTATGTGCCTTTTAGAAAACAGGTGATCTTGCATGATGGTATTTGAATATTTCGTGTCATACTTCACGTTACAAAATTTGCACTTTTCGGGAAGCTTGGCAACTTCCATCTCCTGTCCGAATGTCTTAACAAAAGCCAGTTTCGATTTTTTTTCCTTAGCACGAGCATTCTGAAACCATACTTGAACAACTCTTTTCGGCAGACCAATCTCTCTACCTAACATTTCACATTCGGCCATGGATGGCGTTTTGTAATCAGCAAAAATCGATTTCATCACTTTCAGCTGCATAGTGGTCATTTGCGTTCTGAATCTCTTGTTTGCTCCACTTCCCCTAGGTGAGTGAGATGGAGCAGGAGACGTTGGATTACTCTCATAGGAAACATCTTCCAATTCCATGTTGTCGGTTGATTCGGAATGCGTTTCCGATCTGGTGTCATCGTAATAAATCGAACGAGAGAATCCGTCGTCCATGCTCTTATCACTCAAACTAGTTAGTAGATCATCTTGACTGCGTTCCAGATCAAGTGACATCTTCATTGACTTGCTCAGATCAAGGGGACAATCCCCTCCTTCTTTTTTTTCCCCAGGTTTCGTCTGCTTTAAGGTGAGATCAGCAGGTATCGAACTCGATTCCTTGCTTGTATTGCACAAATCGTTCAAATACTTTTTCAATGAATCTTCATAATATTTTTTCATGGTATTTTGAACGGACTCAGCAGACGTCGATGGTACCGAGGGAGAAGACGAGGAGGATGTTGGCACGTTAGTGGATGCTCCCTTTTCCTCTCCTCCACTGCCCGACGCGGATGGAGCCTCCTGGTTCGAATCGGCGTCCCCATCGGGCAAGGCATCAATGTTGATGTCACCTTTTGTATACTGATCAGCATGTCTTGTGGCAAGATGAGATTCCAGAGCCGACCTTGCTTTGAACAGAGCACGGCAAAAAGGACATCTTTTGTGAATTACTTGTTGGTGGGCACGAAATTGTCCTTTTCTCTCTCGTGCTCTGGTGTTTTGGAACCACACTTGAACTACTCTTTTCTTCAATCCTACTTCTCGAGCAATATTTTCTAACATTTTGCGACTAGGATTACTTTCCATCTGGTATTTTTGATATAAATAGTCCAGTTGTTCGGGAAGTATCGTAGTCCTTAATCTTTTATCTTTTGGTTGTTCCACTGATTCCTTTGATTCTTCTTCTTCTGATAATTTTCTTTTACTAGGATTGGATTGCTGTTGTGCTTCGTACTGAAGAATGCCAAAGGATGAGTTTGATGAGTAATTAGGAAACAATGTAGGATTCATGATATGAACAATTTGATGTTCTCTCCATAGATCAGATCTCGGAAATGCTAAACTACATTTGTCACAGCGATATGTGCCATTCTGACCAAATTTTTCAGGCGACCTTGCTGTTGCTGATGATGAAGTAGGCGATGATGATTTTTCTTCTGTAGTTGGCAGAGGCTTTAACTGTGATGATAGAGGATTTTCATCTTTAAAACAGGAACTTTTTTGGTGCTTAATAAGTTCATAATAACGTTGAAAGACTTGTAGACATTTTTTGCATTGATAATTTAAGCCTGGTGTACGCTGAAATTTTCCTGAACTATCATCATCAGTAGCTACAGGGGGTTGATTTTCATATACTTTTCTAGCTTTCTGTCTTGCATTTTGAAACCATACAACAATAACTCTAGGGCTTAGATTCAGCATCTTGGATAAATATTCCAAATCATCATCTTTTGGATAGGCATTTGTTTCAAAAAATTCCTGTAATACCTTTATCTGATAATCAGTGAATCTAGTCCTATTTGCTCGTTTTCCGGATCCCGAAGATGTGTTTGAAGTGTTTGTGGTGAGAGTGCACATACCACTGGAGGAAACAGTGTTTGTTAATTTAGCAGATTCAAGGGAAGGAGACGTGCATGTTGAGGAGGGAAGAGAGAAAGACGGTAAGGGATGGGAAGATGAAGAAGGATCTGCTAACCTTACTGAATCGGCTAAAGATGCTGTCATCAAACTAGGATCAGAAGGATGAGACAGAGAAAGTCCTTCCAATTTTTGCTCAGATGCATCCTCTTCAGAAATGATCGAATGGTTGGATGTTTCTTGTTTCAGTTTACCTTCTTGAGAGGAATCTGTTTCATCGGCACTACTGAACCTACTCTGTTCGCTTTGGTTACCATTCTGATTGTTATCATCTTTAGATATAGGAACTACTTTGGTTTCACCAGTCTTTTCGTATTCTTCTAGATTAAGATATGTTGAAGGAGGATTGCTGAAATTATAAGGAGAGTCTTTATTGCGCTGACGTTCTTTAAAAAGAGTATTTCTGAACCAATGTTTAATTACTTTGAGAGGTAATCCTGACTTTTCTGACATCTCTACTAACTGTTCTTCGGTTGGAGAGTTGTTTATGTCAAAATAAGCACGAAGAATCTTCAATTGTTCATCACTGATTCTAGTTCTAGCCCTTTTCTGTTGTTGCTGCGCTTGTAACAGTTGTTGCTGCTGCTGCTGTAATAGCTTTTGCTGAGCTGCGAAAAAGTTGGGATCAACGGTTCCAGGCATCATTGGATGGCTAAATGCTGATGCCATAAGTGGATCTAATGGAGGAGGCATCATGACAGGAATCAGAGGAGGGTGTAAATTCATTGCGGCAGGAAATGGCATGTTCATGCCCATAGGCAATCCCATACCAAGTCCCATACTCATCAGAAGCTGATTGAACTGTAGTTGAGCCGCCATCTGATTGGCAGTAGAATTAACATCTGAAGACTGTGAAGCGAGTGATACAGTTGGTGGGGTGGCTGACATAGAAAGAGCCAAGGATGTTTGTAGAGATGGTGTTGGACAGACAGACGTCTCGGCAGATACAGCTGGAGAACTAACATCAGTATTACTACCAGTTTCATCCTGGGCATTTGGTGACTGAGCAACTCGTTTTTCGTATTCTATTCGAAATTCATCAGCAAATTTTTCCACTAAATCGACAGGGACAATTTGCCCATGAATTTCTTCTCTGTGTGCCTTCAATACCCAAATACTAGAAAATTCTTTCAAGCATTTCGTGCATACAGATCTGTTTATTTCTGGTAAATCAGTATCCTTAAACTTTACTTCATTATCAATATCGAGAGATTTCGTTTTTTCCTTCTCTTCAGATATAACTTTTTCAGAAGCTAACAATTCTTTCTTATCATCTTTCTGCATATATTTTTGCCTGTATTCATTAAATTGCATTACAACATCAAACCCAAAACTCTCCAGCAAATGTTTGTATATGAGCGGTTTGCTGCGAGGAAAGGGTTGTTGTTGTTGTTGTTGCTGCTGCTGCTGCTGTTGTTGCTGTTGGCACTTAGCACGTAAAAGATGCTGAGTTAACTGAGGACTTAATTGAGGAGGATGTTGCTTTAAACTTAAGAATTCTGGAGGATATAACAAATTTACTGATTGGTCCTGGTCATCTTTCTGTTGCAATAAATCAGAAACTTGCAATTGAGGCGGGGTGATGCCAGGTATTGGAGGCATTTGTGAATTTGTTGTAATGGCTGATACCCTGCTCAATAAAGATTGCGACGGCTGTGAAAATAAACAACAGAGTTGCTGATGTTGGAGCAAGGCCTCTTGAGAAACAAAGATAGCACTGCACCGCTGACAGCTGAGGATAGGTTGGGAAGATAAGGAAACAGGTAAGTGAGCACTGTGAGGTGGCAGCAGTGATGCGAGATCTGGAGGAACTGATAGTTGAGGGGAGGCACTAGTAACGGGAGTTGATCCCGTGGTAGCTGTGCTGCTCAGAGGAACTTCAGACATATCCGGGAGTTTAGGAATCTGTGTATTAGAAGGAACACTTGTGGATGGGCTGATCACCTGAGTTAGCTGAGGCATAGTAGTAGAGGAACATTGTATATTTTCTGCTGTATCCTGAGCCTGATTTGGTTCAGGTTTTTCGATCAGAGGAACATTTAAATCAACTTGTCCAGTCATAGCCAACTCATGCAACTTGGATGCACGAGTTTGGTGTAGAACAGATCGTATATGAATATCTAATGTTGATCCTTGACTGTAGGCAACCTTACAAATGTTACATTTATATGGCTTGTTATAGGAATCATTAGTGCTAGTTGTATTCGTGGTATTAGTTGTAGAAGCAGCAGATGTAGTAGTTGCTGAGTTAATACTGGCCGTAGTCGTAGTAATTGTCGTACTACTTGTGCTGGAACTGCTACTTTCTTTCATGCTCTGTTTTAATTTGTGAAGATGAGAGACGGAATTATAGTGAACGAGCAAGATATTTTTCTGAGTAAATGATTCCATGCAGATGTCACATTTGTATGGTCTGTTCGGATCAAGGTATTTTTCCATCGGATAGCTTAGCTTCTCCCCTTTCCTGTGCAGTAAAGTTTTATTATGACTGGTCAAATAACTTTGTCTAGTGAAGGCGACTTTACATCTATGGCATTTGTACTTTCTTGTAGGATCGTTATAACTATCTTCTGCGACAGATTGGCTATTTATATAGTCCTCCAGTCCTTCTTGATCCTTAGGACCATCACTACTACCCTGATCACCCGCTTCTGGAACATCTACTTCTGTTTCAGGAGAAATGTCATCTTGATTGCAAATCGCTTCCGCTTGTTCTTCCTGTTGTTCATCATCTCGATTGCTCTCTTTCTTAAGCAATTCCGTAGTCTGAGGGTCTAGTACCCCGCCTCCATTTCCTCCAACTAATAATGGATTGTTAGCAAGACTAGCTTTATACTGATCTAATTCTTCTTTACTCATGTCGGTATGAAAACTTTCCACGTGCTTCTGTAAAGCAGCCACTGATCTAAAATTTCTACCACATAAAACACACTGAGTAGCAGCACGGATGGCATGATACTGCGAATGAAGTTGCAGTTTCTCCAGCGTTTTGAACGCTAAACTACACTGATTACAACGATATTTATAAACGTGTCTTTCAGATACTGCTAGAGGAGGCGTTTGAGCGTGAATTTCACGAAAATGCATCTGCAAAGCTAAGGCAGTAGTAAAATATTGACTACATCCTTTTTTCCAACAAAGATAACCTGGACCTCGAGGTGTCTGTTTCAATTCTAAATGACCAAGTTCATTTTGATGACTAAACAAATCGTCCACGTTACTAAACATTTTAGTGCAGCCAGAGCAAGGTAACTCATCAAATACGTCATCCCCACCAACTTTCTCTCCTCCTTCACTTTCATTCTTCTCCTCCACGTCTTCTTTTTCCTCTTCTTGTTGCTTAGATTTTAAATCGGAAGGTTCGTCAAACGAACTCTGCTTATTACCCGAAGAGATCCAATCAGACTGATCTACCATTAAAAGTAATCTTTGAACGCCCTCTTGATTCACATGATGGACTTCCATCAGATGAGATTCTAACTGTTTCCATTCACTGAAGCTTTCTTGACAAAGAGGACAGGAAATCATATTGGTTTTTTGGGAGTGTTGAGATTCGACATGCGATTGGAGTCTTGCATCGCTATTACAGGTAAAATTACAGAAAGGACAGGAATGAACTTCATCATCAGCGGAACTTGTTGAAGCGGCTTCTTTAGGATTTTCAAGAAGTGCTTGTTTTAACATTGAAGCTGAAGAAGAAGCTGAAGCTTCGTCCATTTTACTCGACGAATCCGCTTTTTCTTCAGTTTTCTCTTCGACTTCAGTGGGTAAAGTATCTGAAATTACACAAAATAAAATTAAAATATTGAGAATTATTTAACAAACCTTAAAATTTTCTTCCATACTGCAATATTAAATACATTTTTAATAATTATAATTACATCAAAAGATAAATTTAAATTATATTAATATAAAGTACTGTACATAACTACAATAATTATATAATTATCTTTTCATACATTATACTATATACAAGCCAAAGTATATATTTATATTTAATTAACTATGTACAATATACTTAATTAAAATGTATATATTATTTATTTTAAATAACGATAAAATTTAAATATATAACTCATAATTAATTATAAATAGATAATTAGTAAATACACACAATAAGATATAAGAATATTTATGCTGCTGGTGAATTAAATTTGTCAATTAATTTATATTTTCTCTCTCTCTCTCTCTCCCTCTCTCTCTATACAAGAAAATCATTTACCGATTTTATTTCTTAAATGCAGAACGGAGAAAGTAATTTTTAAAACAAAATAAATTTTAATGGTTAGAAGAAAACCAAATTTTTCCTCCCCTTTGAAACTAATAATTTGCTTTAATTAATTTCGGAAAAACAGCTCGATATTTTCAAGTTTTTTTTTTAATTGTTATTAATGTACAGTTTTAGATATTTGGAAATTAAAAGAAAATATTTTCCGAAAAAATAAAATTAAATAATATAACATCCTAATGCTTTTTAAATTATTTTAAGATCCTTAACGTACTGAGATAAATCAGTAAAGGAAGAAACACATTCGTTATTGATGTTTAAAAATAAAATAGAAGAAGAAGAAGAAAGAAAGAAAGGAAGAAAGAAAGAAAGAAAAAAAAATCTATTCCAATTTTACTTGTAACATTAAATGCTTTAATTTTGTCCAACAGGAGGAATCTGATTTCTATTAAATTTCTTAATGTGAGGCTCTTATAGGAGCATGCTAATTTAACGAGCATTCAGTCCCACAAATTGTCGAAGTAGCTAAAAATTAATTTTCTAGTTTAAATATGCACTTTTCTTTACGAAAGAAATGTAATAATATGAAGTAAATCTATCAAACACCTAAATGAGTATATGCACCATATATAGATAATTAATTTATTTATTTAAAAAAGAAAGAATCGAAACTAGTTATTCTTATGCTATTCAGATCATGCAGAATAAAACTAAATACGAAAATACACAAGCAAAAGGGGGAAATTTAGTAAATTTATTTCATTAATTTAATAATAATGGAAATATAACATTGTGAAGAATAAAGGAATTCACATTCTTTTTAATGAAACTGACGCTCGCAAACGTCTGCAATAATAGATGGAAACACAACTGGAAGACATTTGAGTAATGACTGAGCAAAAAATAAAAAAAAAAAAGGAAGTATATTTTTTAATTATATGCAATTTCATGAATCACTAACTAAATGGCTCTTAACAGAATTTTTAAACTTCACATTTAGACAAAATAATGTTCTTGGGTCAAATCGAATCTTAAAAATTATACTTAATCGCTTATATATAAAGATATATATATTCGATGGCGATCGGTTAAATAAAGTGCAAAATTTATTTTTTAAAATCTAGGAAGGGGGAAAACAGTATTAAGAAAAATATTATTACCCCGAAAATATTGAATTTTACATATTTTTTTTCTTTCTTTCTTTCGTGAGAACGGAATATAAATTCGTCTCAGTAAATGCAATTATCTGTAAATTTTACTGAACTGAATTCGTGTATTATTAAAAGATTAATTATATATATATAGACACAGTTGAATCTCCAATAACGATCACCTCTAAACAACGGACATTTTCTTTTTTCTTGTCTTTTTTAAAGGTGTACTGTACGTACAAAATAACCTCTAAACAACGGCCAGTTTTAATGTTACTATATATATATATAGGCCTATATAATTCCAAGTATTTAGTTGCATAAGTTAATTTTAATACAATACGTAACGGAAAGAAACACCTCTTCTTAGAATTTAAAAAAAATAAAAAAAGTTTTATTTTCAATTAAAATTTTATCTAATATTTTTGTATTATATATCCGTTAAATTTTTATTTAACTTCCCTCGTTGTTATAATACAAGATTCGATTTGAATCATCNGATGTTAGAATTTTTTTTTTTAAAAAAAATACATATTAAATTTTATTTTCAAATTCTGAAATTATTTGATTACAACATCGACTATATTTTTATAAATGAGAGAATTGCAGAATACTAATAAAGACAAACATCTTTAAAGAATTTATTTAGATCTAAAACAAAGTGAAATTTGATATTAAATGAAAAAGAAATCTCTCTTTTATTATTTTATTTTTACATATAGAAAATATATTTAACGAATTATCAACGTGTTAAGAAATTAACTAACTTTATAAATGTAGACTGTACATTGCCTTATCACGCTGTACAATACAGGAGGGGGGAGAGAAAAAAAAAATAAGCTGTTTTAATTAATCAGCGACTATAATTTATCTTAAATATTTATAATTTAATTAAAGTATACGTTAAATTATAATCTATTATTATCGCTAATGGTTAATGGTTTGGGTGTGAATTTTATTAAGCAATCTATATGTTAATTTGTAATATAAGTCGACTGGCATTAATTTTTATCTTAAAACAAATAGGAATTCTGCATTGTATCCAGAATTAGGCAATTATAGTAGTAGGTCTTATAACAACATTCACAACGGTCGATAGAAATAAAATAAAAATGAAAAAAGAAGAAGAAGAAGAAGAAGAAGAAGAAAGGAAAAGGAAGGAAAAAAAAAAAAATCAATTTTGCAAATGTTAATAAAAATTTGAAATTGTCCTTTTTGTAAATCCTGAATAAATGCATAAATTATCAAACTCAATCCAATTTAGTCTCAATTTTAAATTCGAAATTGCGATTAGAACTTAATTGGAATTATTAATAAGTTTGTAAATTTGTAAACAACAAACTCGACAATTAAACTTTACAACCGATGAAAGATTTCGTTCTAATTAAAGTTATTTATTTATTATTATTATTATTATTACTAGTAAAAAAGATTTCAATAAGTTTACTTAAAAAATCAGCTTGTAAATTAATTAATAATCGTGGCCATAAATGATTTTTTTTTTTCGTCGAATTAATGTAAAAGTATCGAAAGGTTCTTAATAGAACACTCACCCAAACTTTTATTATAATTCTCGAGATAATCCCATAATTAAGGTTATATACTTCATGTTTAATACGCAGTTTATATATCTCGTCAGTTAAATCATACAAGGAAATGGATATTTTGGGCACGAACAACAGAATTAATGATGCAGAACTCAGGTGTGTCGAAGAGAGTTGGAAAAAAAAAATATACATATATATATGCAATATATTAGGAATAGGAAGTAATGGGTAGGCCTATTAAATGCCCGTTGTGACCTACTAAGTCAATAGTCAATTTGCCATATATTTAACTAATTATTTAAGAGAAAACATGCGACCTAAATGAGCATTTTTTGGGAGATTTTTCTCTGGTCGGCAATAACTGAATTGGCAGTTTCTTTTTTAAAGTCTGTAGATGAACGATAAGAGGCGTTGTGAAAAGTCTGAACATGTGTACCGAACCTCCCACCTGCTGACAGAGTTCTCCTTCAGCAATCACGGACAAAAATAGGAGACCAAAACAGTAACTGGGCCGTTTGAATGTCGGATCGACAACTTCGACAAAAGCAATTGTTTATATTCTAATAATTCTTCTTAATTAATTATTAAATTAAATAAATAAAAATATAACGTTATGATAAATAAATTTTGTTTTCTCTCTCCCTCCCCCGTTTCTTTTTTTTTTTTTTTAAATTAATGTTGCAACCCAATTACAGTATCACATTATTTATAGATTGATTTACGTTTTAACCTGTTTTGTTGCATATTTTTCCAATTATGTGTATCTTTATATATCTTAAATTGTAAAAATATTTTAAAAAAATCATATCAGATTTTCAATCGAAAACAAATTATACATTAATTTAACATTTATTTATGAAAGAATTATAAATATCTACATACACACATACTAATATATATAGGCCTTAACTTAATGTTTAAATCTAATTTAGAAATAGGTTAATTAACCTTACGGTCTAATTTACTGATCAACTTTTTAAAGATTTATCATTTAGAAATGCCATAAAAGAACACACACAAAGAAATTGTTTTCTACAATTTGAAAATAATCAAAAATATTTTAAAATCTCAAGCGCATTATCAATATCGTCGCCATTACCAATTTTCAGTTCGTTTATTTCGGAATATTTTCGTCACAAAAATTAATGATTCGTGTTTCCGAGAGACTTATAAAAAATATATATATTAATGTAAAATTATACATATTTTCTCCTATAAATTACGGTCAGTAACTTAGGGATTAAGTCTAAATCCAGAATAAATTACCATGTACTTCTTTGTTTATTATTCTTATTAGTAATTTTAAAAATATATGTATAATATAAACTATTTTTCGCAATTAAATAGTAGAAAGAAATGGCCGTTTAAAATGTTATATGGCCTTTTCTTCTTTCTATAATATCTTATGTTATATATTAAATTATCACGACTATAATAACCATATATTCGCTAAACTAATAGTCTACCATACTTTAATCCCCAATTTCGGACTAATCAACCGACGATAGTTAATTCCCTTCTGATTAACATTAGAAATTACTTAATGCACATTGTAAATCCCTTATAATCCTACTTCAAATTAAATTTCGAGATTGACATAAGCTAATTTTTGCTACGAATGCCGACGGACTAATTCGTGCTTTGTAAGTGTATAATTAAATTATGTACTGTACCTATTAAAAACTGAAACAAAAAAATTAAGTCGACGGCTTTACTTTTTCCAATTTAGAAAAAAAAATCAATTATAAAATAATCAAGGTCCCTTTTTTAAATATTAAATTTTTACTATTAACACGAAGGAAGAGGAGGAGGCCTCAATCACAAAGCTGGTTTTACATATAAGCTAAATA